ATCTTTAAAAAAAAAAAAACAAGTCTTTGAAAAATATTCCTTGAAAGAATGTTTGCAATAGAATTGTGCCATTTTGATAAAGGATCTTCTTTTGTATGCTTCTCATGGAAATCACACTGGGGATTTCAAGCCATCTTATTTTAATTGAAGGCAAAAGTGTGATTCCTTAAAAGCACTTATAATGTGTAATAATGTGTTTGTTTACTCACTGGGTTCTAAAGGGTAAGAATTGTACCTGTCCTCTTCATTATTATATTTTTCATACCTGGAGTATATAATAGGTGCTTGATTTCACCATTTTTATTATTTTTGTCAGCTTACAAAAGTCTGATTTTTCCTACCCTTAAAAAAAGAAACACAACACTTTTCCCTTTTCTCATCTCCTTTCAAACCTCACTTCTCTGCTCCCTATCTCAGTAAAACAGAGGAGTTATCTATACTACTTGCTTGACCAGTTCTTTGCTATCCTTGCTTTTTTGAACCTACTCTGTTCAGATTTTCACTCATATGACTCCACTGAAACAGCTCTTGTCAAGAATTCCATGTTGACAATCTAGTGGACACTTAAGTTTTCAGCAACCATCAACACATTGACCCCCTCCTCATTAAGGGAATTTTCTTATGTTACTACTGCTTCCTTCTCATTCATCTTCGTTGGTTACTTTTCTTCAAGATCTGTGCTATCCTCTTCTAGTCTTAGTCTTGGACCCTGTTCTGTAGAAATACAGTCTCTCTAGGTATTTTCATCTATTCCATGGTTTTAAATTCTGTGTATGAGATGATGCCTTTCTAATTTCTCTCTCCAATCCTAGCCTCTCCCCTTGTACTCTACTCAGCTGTCTAAAAGAGAATTCGTGTTTCATAGATCCAAACTTAATGTGCTTGATTTTCCCCTGTAAACTTGTGCTTTTGCTGTTCTCTCAGGAAATTACTTCTTCCATTTAGTTGCTCAAGACAAAAACCTTGATTTTTCTTTTCTTCATTCATATTAAAAGTCCTGTGGCTCTATCTCCAAAATAATACTAGTTAGCCACCATTGGCTCTTACCTAATATACTCAGTGGCCTCCTACATGGTTTTTCTGATTCCATTACTATTTTATAATACCTTCTCCATAGAACAGTCAGAGTAATCTCCTGAAATCATAAAATGGATCATATGTTATACTGTTTTAAACTCCTCAGTAGCCCCCATCACCCTTTGTCTAATCTCCTCTCCATGATGTACAAGGTCCTATATAATCTGTCCCTTTGTGTTTTTCTTTTTTTTAATTTTTATTTATACATACAAGAATTGGGGTACAGGCCAGAGTTTGGGAGGTGAGAGGATTCACCGGAGACAGAGTGGAGAACAGAACTGGCAGACTGACTGAAATACACTGCTAAGGGGAGCAGCGGGCGAGTCGGAAGAGGTTTGCTGTGCCATGTGGGCAGCTCCCTGGCTGGGGGATCGAACTTGTGCTGCAGTGGCTGTGGCTAGCTTCATAGGTTGCGTCTTAACCCCTTGTGCCACCAGGGAGGCCCCTTTATGTTTTTCTAACCAAATATCAACCATCTTCCCCCTCCCAGAGTGTACTCAGTGACTCATTGCCTCCTCCTTCAAACAGGTCAAATCCATTCCTGCCGCAGAGCCTTTGTACTTTTTCTTCTCTCCGCCAGAATGTTCTTTACCACCTTTTCTGATGGCTGGTTCCTTTTCCATCTTTAAACCTCATTTCAAATCCTACATTATTGGCGAGGCCTTTCTGACCACCTTCTCTAAATTTGCCCCCCTCCCATTGCTTGCTATCAAATACTTCTTTCATAGTGCCTACCGTAACTTGTGGACATCTTTAGTTTGCCTTCTCTCACTAAGAACCAAATTCCAAAGAGTAGGGATTCTCTTGTTCTGTGTCATGACCCCAATGTCTCCAACAGAATCAAAGACTTTGGAGGGTCTCAAGAAATATTTGTTGAATAAATCAGTGTTTGTTTCTTATTGCCTCAAACCACTCCCATTCTCTTACTAAATAGCAGTAACTCATCAGTTGGTTTTAGAGATTTTAAATTGAGGTTATCTTGAGTTCATCTAAGTGTTATTCAGGCAGTTCTACTTGAGCATCTTGATTCTGAATGCCTTGTTCTAAGATGTCATCAATGAAAACTTAATTTGTTTCAAGACAACCTAGCACAACTGAGGCTGTGCCTGTTAGCATGGCTATTAAGGGAGCAGGATGCCAGTTTTAGTTCCACATTTTCATGTGTTTGTTAACTAGGAAATGCCTATAGTGAAGAGTGCATTTTATATTGTTGGAAGCAGGTGAACAGAGACCCATAGACCACAGGGGTTTTCAGGAGCTTCAATCTTCTCCTGAGTGAAAGTGTAGCCCTATGTCTAATCTTAATTAACCTAGCAGTTTGACATGATATGACATTTCACATTTTCTTCTTACTGATGCCTAAATTTTAAAGAGGCTGCATTAAGATACCTCAGTTTCGGGCCTCCTTGGTGGTGCAAGGGGTTAAGATGCAACCTATGAAGCTATTCATAGCCACTGCAGCACAAGTTTGATCCCCCGCCAGGGAGCTACCCACATAGCACAGCTTGCATGCTGCTCCCCTCAGCAGTGTGTTTCAGTAGATCTGCCTGTTCTGTTCCCCACTCTGTCTCTGATGAATTCTCTCACCTCCCAGAACTCTGGCCTGTGCCCCAGTTCTTGTACGCAGAAATAAACCTTAAAAAAAAAAGATACCTCAGTTTCTCTGTGGGACAAGTAGTGTTAAGTAAAAGAAAAGACAATATACACTGATACTGAACTTGAAAATATTTTTAATTTAATCTGTGTGACTAAGTATAGTTATATATCATCTTTTAGGACAAACCATATTATTTTGGTGCTCTTTGATCTTGTAATTTGAGTAGTATATTGCAACATAAAGCAAATGTAGAGAATGATAGAAAGTAAATTTAGTTTTTTATGTCCCTTTCAAGTATAAGACTAAATGAGAGAACAAAATGAAGCTATTGCATGACTACAGAATACTAAAAGTCTTATGCAAGCAGTCATGTTCTTTCCCTTACTACTAATATCTATAATTATCCATGAAGTAACTGTTTCCCAAGATGAAAGTACATAAGGTTATTGTATTTAGAAATTTCCGTCTGAAGGGACCATGGACCAACCATGAGTCTTCAGTGTCTTTGGTCCTAATGAAGACAGGTTTGAGCCTGTTTCTATTTGTACTCATATAAAACCAAAAATTTCCCAAATGATTGATTCATAAATTGATTTATAGAATGTGCATTTTCTCATTCAAAGAATTCGACTTCATTTTTTTCACGAAGATTTCATTCTATATTCCAACATTTTGTGAGAAAAATAAGCCCTTTTAAAAAATTTTTATTTTTTATTGTTGCAATATTGGTTTATTAAAAATCTTTGAGTGCTGCTGAAGTCCAGAGGATCATCTTAAGTTTATAGATGATAAAATTCTGCTACTCTGTGCCTGTATTGTCAGTAATTTCTGCAGCTTGCTTAGACAATGTTCAGTTACTGAATGAATCTTAACCTGAGTACCTCAAATGTCACCTTCTCCAGAATCCTTCATCCCTTATCTCATGGGTTAGTTCTTACTCAGAATATTAGTCTCACATTACCGTGTTTTCTCCTCAGAAAGAGAGCTTCCCCCCCACCCCTTGTTTACTCTGGATGCCTATTGCCTAGACCGGGGCGCTTAAACGTTTGTGGAATGAATTAATTTCTTAATAATCTATAAATAGTGCTTCTAAATGTTTTGTAATATTGATACTCAATAGGTTGATCACTAAAATGTCCATATAGTCTACTTATTTTTTACATGACTACTCATTTTATAATTTAAACTCCAACTATCAGTGGGAGTTAGAAGCCACATAAAAGACAATTTGATTTGCATATCTAGTTAAATGAAATTCTCAAAAAACTGTTCTTATCTAACCTTCCAACCACATACCAGTCATTTCCTGACATTCTTATTTGTTGGAGAAATGCATCCCATGGTTCAAAATTATTTATCCTGGAGGGGGAAGAGAATGAATGAATGGAGCTGTTGAAATTTGTAAGACCAGTTTGATCCGAACCCTTATCAATTTTAGCCCTTTGGGTTTACTATAAGACTGCAGGTCATTTCTGAGCAATGTTTTTCTTATTTGGAAAGAGCCTTTTTTTTACCAAACTCATTTATTTAGAATTCCAGCTCTTCCCTCCCTTCAGGCATTAAGATGGAGCTTAAATCCTGAGCTTCCTGTCGCGCTCTCTCTAAGGAGCTAATTCCCGCTGTCAGGATGCCCGGCGCTAGTCGAAACCCCGGGGCGTTACGCGCGGTCCCTGCCCAAGACGGTCTTCGCGGGGAGTCCGGGCTGCGGCGGGTGGCGCGGCAGGGTCCTCCACCACCCCGGGGCCAGCCCCGCACGGCCAAGCCCCGTGTCCAAACCGCTCTCAGTGCGGCGCAGGCGGGCCTTTGCCCGAGCGCGAAGTCCAGCCTAAGCCGCAGCCCCACCCCTACAGTCGCGCCTTCCCTGCTCCGGGGGCCGCGGGACTGGGGGCCGCACGGCAGGCGCTCGAGGAGGGGGCGCGCAGGCGGTGGTGGCCCGTGGTGCCCCAGACGTCGCTCTCCCGGGGGCGGGGAGCTGAGGTTCCTGCGCTCCAAAGTCCCAGGCGCTGTCCCCGGGCCACCCCCGCCGTAGCCTCAGACAGCAGCGGACAGCGTCCAGGAGCAGGAGCGGGACCCGCGCGCGTCCTCGCTCTTCCTCAGCCGCCTCTCCTTCCGCGACCCGGCCCTGCCCTCCGCGCTCGCCCCGCCCCGGGAGCTGCCACGTGAGGGACTCCTCGCGCCAGCCGGGCGGCCGGCCCCGCCCCCGCCCCCGCCTTGGCCCCGGCGCCGCGCGCCGCCACGTGATGCGGCTCGGCGCCAGCCAATGGGCGCCGGCCCCGCCCCGCGCCCGCCCCGCGCGCCGTGGCCGTTTGAAGTGACTAATTTCTGTCATATGACCGAGGCGCTCATGGGGGTGGCGGGGCGGCTCTAGGACCGGGGGCCTAGCGAGCGCCCTGAGGAGCGACCCCAGCCTGGCGGCGGCCAGCATGGCCCCTACGCTGTTCCAGAAGCTTTTCAGCAAGAAGAGCGGGCTGGGCGCGCCCGGTCGGGACGCGCGGGACCCGGATTGCACGTTCAGGTAGGGCGCTGCGGGGATGGGGGCGCGCAGCCGAGGGCCTTGCGGGCTGCGGGCGCCGGAGCTGCCGGGGCCTTCCGTGTGGCCGCGCGCGCGGGGCCGCTGCTGCCGGCGCCGGGACGGGTCCGCGGTCCAGAGGGGCTGGGCGGCCGCCGGCCTGCGTCGGAGCTGGGGGCGAGGTGCGCTCTCCCCACCCCCCGGCTCCGCCGTCGCCCCTTCCCCCTCCCCGGGCCGGTTTGTTTACGCGCCGTGCGGTGGCCACGCGCGGCCCGGCCCCTCCGGACCCAGGACCACGGCCTGGACGTCGGGTCCGCACGCCTCCCTGGCGGCTAGTAGGGTTGGGCGCGGGCCGGATCGGACCTCAGCCGCCGTCCTCCGGGCGGAGAGGTTCTCCCCTCCTCCCCGCGACCAGTCGCCCTCTGGGCCCTCCACCCTAGTTGGCCTGGTGTTGCGGGGAGAGCTGCACGTTTTGGCCAGGCTTCTGAGAGTGGAGAAGGCTGGAGGAGCGAACAGGCAAGGTGTCGTTCTTTAAGGTTTCTTGGAAACTAAAATTGGAGGTGTGCGGTTACCGGACCCAGCGGCCTTAATGTCGAAGGGGAAATGTGAAACCTAAGAGGTTCTGGTTACTACTGTCCAGGCAAGCAGGACAGAATTAAGTGAAGCTTGGCCACAGGTTCAGCTCCTTAGAACTGTTACTGAAAAGAGTCTTTAAAAATGGAAAACCCTAGCAGAATATATTTTGTGGCGTTGTTGGTGTTTGGTTGCAGTACTTGTTGCTGGTAAAACTTTAAAAAATTGTAATGCTTGGTATGAACTTGAATTCAAGGTAAAATGGAATGGTGAAACCGCATTTGAAGAAGAGTATGTCATCCAAGCAACCTTCATACTTGTTGCATTGTGGAAACTTGTAAATATAACTAGGCTAAATGTCAAGTATCACTCCAACCTGGTAGATAGCGAACCAGTTGTACAGTAGTAGCAGGGAGAAAATGACTGTATCACACTGGTTTAAAAGGTTTTGATACTCTTAAAATTATTCACTCCCACTTGCTACTGCATGTCACATTAGTAAGCATTCAGTGATACATGTGAAATTGATGTATTAAATGGAAAGAAATTTGACTTTTAGAGGAAGGAAAATCTCAGCTGTGACTATCTTGCAAACATGCTTAGTAAAAAATAGTTTCCTAGGTTTTGGTCTCTTCCACTGGGAAATAAATCTCCTGCCTGTGCTTATCTACTGACTTTCTTTAGTGTTTTCCCTTTGGAAAATGAAAGTACAGTCTAGATAATACTACCTTGAGCCATCTAGTAAATCAGCAGTCAGTAGAAAGCAAGTTCAGGAGGGATATTATAAAGGTAACATTGTATAGGGTTACTATTTCAGGGCTAAGATTGATTTTGGGGGTACCCAAGTTTCCAAGGGTCTCAAATCACTCATGTGAAAAAAAGTTTTCATGTGTATTTTTTTAAAAATGTAAAGTGTATTGTATAGTTGTGTAACACTATCTTAGAGTTGTCAGAACACTTTCTCGTCACCTCGTGGTATTTCACAACAACCTTATGAGTAGCAGTATGGAAAACTATATGATCCTTTTTCCAGTGGAAGTAGGAATTATGTGTAAGCCTAAGAACTGCAGTACATTATAGAAGTGATAGCCTTAAAAGTAACCTAAGTGTATATGTGAGAAAATAGGAACTGGCTAATGCCACATGGCCAGTAATTTGCAGATCTGATCAACCCAGGTATTCTTTTTTTTTTTAAACAATTTTATTGAGTTATAACTTACATACCATAAAATTGAGCCATTTTAAATGTAAAATTCTGTGGATTTTATTATGTATACATTACCCACCACCCCAATGAAGTTTTTTTTTTTTTTTTTTTTTAATCAGTAGTTTCTTCTATTGTGTTGAACAGTGGTCCTGTGAACATTTGCGTACAAATCTTCACGGAGATACTTCTTTTCATTTCAATTTTTAAAATATTATTGAACTTTTTTGAAGTACACATTGTGTATTTCCTCTACCAGTATATGAAGATTTACAGTTGCTCCACATTTTCTCCAATACCTGACATTGTTAGTCTCTTTTTGCTTTTAATTAAACATTTTTTTTTTGTATTGTAAACAACATTTAACAAAAAATTTACTGTTAACCATTTTTGATTCTTTTAGTTTTACTGGGTACAGTATATATATAATGGTTTTAATTTGCATTTTCCTAAAAGCTGTTTATGTTCAGCATCTTTTTATGTAATTCAGGTTTTTGAGTAGACAAAAGTTTTGTGTTCATTTTAGTATGCCATGCGTTACTTCCTAAAATCCTAAAATTCTTGTTTTTAAGACAGCTTAAGTTATTAAATTAGCCTTGGTCACCACCACTGGAAACTAACTAGCTCAGCCTGTAAAAGTCAATTCCTAGAATAAACAGAGTAAGAGGCTGGTGGTAATAAGCCACACTAATGCTCTATGATAGAGGAGACTTTAATGAAGAAGCCTTTGGAGCCTTTCAATACTGTCTTTAATGGTTACCCCACTGGAAAGGATTAAGGGTGACTCCCCCTTCCTTCAGCCTTCACTTTTGAGACCCTCAGTGTATAGATTTCCATGTTTGTCTTATAAGCACATGAGGTGGACATGCGTTTGAAGGGTATCCCAGGAAGGATATTATTTATTTCTGTCACTTAGAGAATTAAAACAACAGTTTGTTTTTATCTTTTAAAGAATTTGGGAAAGATGGTACTTTCTAGAAGATACTACTCTATGTTTTTGCCATCAGGCCACTTTCCAAAATGAAATTCTTAAAACCTGGTATGGTGAAGAAGATGTCTGTTTACAGTTGCTTGCTTTAAATCAGAAACTTAAGAGTGTGCCTTTGGCATCTGCAGTGATGTTGCTTAAGTAATTTTTATTCAGCAGCAGCTTTCTTCCCTTTTAAAATATGATTTGTTGAAACTGGGTCACTTTTTCTTATGGTTTCCTTTAAATCTCTAGTTCCTATTAATCTGTATTTTAACACCCCTCTTCAGGTGATTCCGATGCTCAAGTTTGAGAACCACTGCTATAACTTATTTCCTGAGAACTGGTAGCTACATTATTAGATTCAGGCTTCTGTTGTGTGGGTTTTTTTTTTTTTTTTTTTTTTTTTTGTAACAAAGATGTTAGATGTTGCTGTATATATCATAATTACATAATGTCTGATTGTCCCACTTTTAGTGAGGCTAAGATTGACTACTGGTTTTAGGTGATATAATCCTTTTTCTTCCATTGTAAAATTCCCCTTTCACTAACTGTTTAAGCAACTTTAGTTGGTTATTGCCTGAATCCATTATCTTGTTAGATATTCCTCTTCTTTAATTTTTTTCTTGTTTATTTCCCAAGAAAATGTCTTTATCACCCGTTTGGTTACTCTTTGCTCCAGGAAAGGCAGAATAAAAGTTTGATTGCTTTCATTTATTATTTTTTATGATAATTGGTAATGAGTTGTTTATTTTTTAGTATCATGGACTGTTGGATTATAATGTGTTTTAGTCCATTACAGTTAAATTATCCCACATTTGGCTAGTGGTCACCTTCTCAAGTTGACTGTTGTGCCTTTTTTTTTTTTTTAAAGATTTATTTATTTATACAAGAACCGGGGTACAGGCCAGATGTGCGGGAGGGTGGGAGGATTCACCAGAGACAAAGTGGGGAAAAGAGCAGGCAGGCTGACAGAAATACACTGCTGAGGGGAGCAGTGGGCGAGACAGGAGAGGTCTGCCGCGCCATGTGGGTATCTTCGCGGCTGGTCGGGATCGAACCTGCCCTGCAGAGGCTGTGGACAGCTTCACAGCGCTGTGCTCAACCACCTGCGCCACCAGGGAGGCCCTGTTGGGCCTTTTTAACATAATCTCAGTCTGTGATAACGTCTTGCTTGCTTTTGACGTAATTCCTACTCCCTCTTGGATGATTTTATTTATTTTTTAAATTTATTTATACAAGCACTGGGGTACATTTTTTAAAATTTATTTATTTATACGTGCACTGGGGTACAGGCCAGAGGCGCTGGAGTGTGAGAGAATCCACTATAGACAGAGCAGGGAGCAGAACAGGCAGAGGACTGAAATACACTGCTGAGGGGAGCAGCAGGCAAGGCAGGAGAGGTCTGCTGAGCCATGTGGGAATCTCCCTGGCTGGCCAGGAATCGAACTGGTGCTGCGGAGGAGGCTGCGGTTAGCCCACTGTGCTCAACTCGCTGCACCACCCGGGAAGCCCTCCCTTGGATGATTTTATTACCTTGGACTTGTTTTAGCTTCTGAGATGTGCTGTGATTTGTTGTTTCCTATTCTTTGGCATAGTCTTGTATATCTTTTTGTTTAGCTTTTTGTAATGATCATCTGTGCTTATACTAATTATTCTTTCTCTTAGAAACTTTTTCTGATTTCTCACCAGACTGAGCTAGGTTTTATGGTTATTTTTTTTCTATCACTACAACACTTCATTTTGTAATATATATCACCGTTACGATTACTTGTCCACATCTCTTTGCTTACTTGGGAGTTCTCTACAGTTATGTTTTGTAGTTAGAATCATGTAAATCCCTGCCTAATGGGGGGAAACAGATACCTCAGTTTCTGGAACAGTTAGGTAGATGCCATTTTCTGAGGCAGAAAATATAATATTGTACAGTTCTGTCTTGAGTACCTTACCAACAGTAGCGGTTCTCTCTCCTTCTCTTTATCAGAGCACATGGTTTTTATCCTTTATAGCTCTCTATGCAACTTACCATTTGTTTTCTCCAAGTTCAAATTGTTGTGCCAGTGTACAGCAGAGTTCTTGAGCATGTGCTCAGTAAATATTTGTAAATAAATATACGAAATAATTTCAAAGGCAGAAGGATAAATTAAAAATTCTATATGGAACTTTTGGTCTTGTTTTACATACACACCTAGAGAGGTACAGTTAACAGTTTAATAAATTTACCTCAGTTTACAGTAAAGTTTGGACTAGAGATATAAGTGT